TATTATGCTTTCATAAACGTATGGTAATTATTTTCAAACCGTTATCAAGCATCCTGTGGTTTATCCATGTCTTCATTGTGTTTTTGTGAAGCTTTACGACATTTCGTTCTTATTTTTAAAGGTTTCTATAAAAAGCAATTAACCACACTGCAAAAACTGTCCACCTAACCAAGTTTTAAAATCTTATATCCAGCCAAAAAGTATTTTTGATCTTGTTTTGAGACTGATTTACTAAACAAGAACTGATTGTGTAAGAATAATAATCTTGTTTTCAGAATGTGTAAGATTATTTGTCTTGTTAGTCTGAAAACTTGACTCAAGTAAAAAGAAATTTGCCAATGGAGTAAGAAAACTTTACTTGGTAAGATTCTTGAAATACTTGATTTGACTCAATTTTTATTTCAAGAATCTTACCAAGTAAACTTTCTCACTCCATTGGCAGAAATTTTTTTCACTTAATTTGAGTTAAATTTTCAGACCAACAAGACAAATAATCTTACACATTCTGAAAACAAGATTATTATTCTTACAAAATCAGTTCTTGTTTAGTAAATCAGTCTCAAAACAAGATCAAAAAGACTTTTTGGCTGATATAAGATTTTAAAACTTGGTAAGATGGACAGTTTTTGCAGTGCAGTCCTACTTTGTGTGGTTTCTGACACAAAATCTTGACTTAAAGACTAAATTTGTTTAATGCAGGAGTATTAATTCTGCTTTTTGTGTAAAATAATAAAAAGTCCACAGAAAGAATACAAAGTAGCAACAGGAGGCAGAGAAAATAAAACCAATGAAACCCAGCAACACCTATCAAATCCTCACAGGCGTTTAAATATTACATAAGCATGCCACAAACACAAAAAAAATCCTGTTAATCCCTGTGTTGAGTCTCTGTCCTGTTATCTGATATGTGAAAAGGAGGTTAAAGTTCCTCTAAAAGGAGCTCTGAAGACAAAATGGCCACTGAGTGTGTGTGAGAGTGGAGGAAGCAGCTTTACACTGGAGTTAAAGACGACAGGGGCGGTAACCTCAAGGCCCATGACACTAATAAGTGCAACGCAGTGTTTGAATGTTTCATTTCCCAAGATCAAACTAGAAAAAGGATAATTTCGCATCTATAAGGTTTCGTGTTTGCTCATACTATGAGCAGTATGAAAATTAAACTCCAGTGTCCTGAAACAAGTCCTAACTCATTCACATTTCAGTCCCAAAATAGTTTTTACAGACATAAAACATTGGTTAGTTGTGCCCTGCATGGCTTGTCCTCCTACCTAGCACATATGTTGCTGTTTGTTTTTCTCCCACAGGCCTGGCACGAGACAAAAAAAACCCAGAACAGAGCCAGTCCACCTACAAAGGGTACATAATACCCCCACCCTGCCATGCCCTCAGTGCCCATCCCCCCATTCCTTTCCTGCCAGGCTACACCACAAGGCTGCCACAAACGTGAATGAGACATGGGTGCCATTTTTAAACCCAACTCTCTTTTTGCATTATCAAAAGGATTTGCCATGGTCGAGTCTGCCTCCTGTGTGAGAGCCCGGTTGTCTGGGACACCCATGTGACCCTGAGACACAGAAGAGAGCAAGGGTGAGAGTCATTACCCAACCCCCCACCCTCAACCCTGTAGAGCGCAGAGGCCTGACGAGGCCTCCAATCCACCCCAGCTCCTCCTCCTCCCCCTGCTGCTCACACTCAAACTGACTTTTAAGGTGTGCACATTCATCACTCGAAACCAAAAGTCACCACAACAGCAAGAAGGAAGCCATGTTGTTATAAGAAGGCTGAGATTTAAAAAAAAAAGACAGAGCTTACCTCTGTGGATGCATGGCTGCCTGACACAATGTTATGTCAACACTTATAAAACATGGAGGACACTCTCAGCCCTCAGCCGGGGAAGGCACCGTTCTTCAGGCAAGGCGATCAGGCCCCAGCGATGTTAGCCCGATCCTGACTGGTCGCCTTCCGCACAGGCGAGATACAAGGCCGCGTCTGATTGGCTGAAGTGTTTCCTGAGTAATTATCTTTGTTCAGTGCAGGCAGGGGCAGCACTGTGAGAGTCAGAGACAGGGGAAGAAAAATGAGCACAGAGCTAGGTGTCAAACCACACAAATGTACACGACAAACGAGCATTTTGGACATACAAACCCTTTGTAACAATGCTGTGAAGCTTCCAAGAGAAGAACCTGGCGGTGGTTGTCTCAGTTTGAAGGCTTAAATAGAGGAAGTGTCAGCTGGTAGAGCATTAGAAGCAGGACACCATGGCTTCTCTGCACAAGCCTCCATTTTTAATGTAGAGAGGGCCTTTGTTGAAACTCCTCCCTCCCACTTGGCTGTCTCCAGAGAAAAACAGGCTACGGCTCTTTATCTATTTTCACAATTTAGTATGAAAAAGGAAGAAGCAGCAAAACGTACATTAGATACACTTATTTATATGCAAACAGCATGTAAGTGTAAATATGGAAGGTACAATATAGGTGGATTGTGAACATAAGGACCAAGTTTTAAATCAGCAAGTTGTTAAAGTGTGATACTCTCTTATTGTAACCCTGACATAAAATATATTTGTCCAATACCAGTCAATCAATCCAACAGTCTGATTGGTGTACTGCAAAAAATAAAATATAAACTTAAGTCAAACAAACCTATCCTTTTAGTCCGTCACACAGTACAATTAAAATCTTCTGGTTAAGAAACAATGATTTGTTGCTGATCAGTAGTTGAACGTCAGATCGATAAATATCTATTTTTTCAGACTTTTGGAGGTTTAGTTGTACATTTTTACTCAGCAATGTAATGTATTGTAACAGAAACCAAACCTTTTAAATGGCAATCAACTGCACAGAAATGACCCGTAATGTAAATTAGATTTTGTAGGACATTGATTTAATGAAGGTTCGGTTTCTTTGTACTCTGACTTTTCTTATGCAAATATGACCTTCAAATAGAAAAAGAAAACTACACAGTGTGTGTTGTTTTACAACACAGCTCTTTCTAAATATTTCAGCTGATATAATACACATCAAATCAAACCACACTCACATTATATTTTACTAAGCAGGTGACACCTTTTTGTAACCATGAAGGCGAGGAGTATGACACTGATTTTTCTAAATTACTATGAAGGAATATAGGTGCTTTTAGTGTGAAAGTAAGTAAGAATAACAATACGTTAGAGTAGATTTTGATATTTACCACAAGAACTAACCATACGACTGTGGCGTACTGGCAAGTTCTCAAAATGCTAAGGAAAAAGATGTTATCGCCCAACGTGGGGCTCGAACCCACGACCCTGAGATTAAGAGTCTCATGCTCTACCGACTGAGCTAGCCGGGCTGTGAGTACCCCACCCCAGCCGACTCTTTCTCCAGGCCGTGGATCCAGTGACAGTCAATTTTGGTGTCGAGTCTGTCTCATACTGCCCTCTACTGCACCAAAAACTTATTTTAAGTAAGCAGAATACTACAAACAGAGCAAAAAGTGACAAATGCTCAGAGTTGTAAAGTAACTTAGTACAAATACTTCTTTACTATACTTAAGTAGAATTTTTGGGTATCTGTACTTTACTTGAGTAATTATTTTTCAGCCTACTTTTTACTTCTACTTCTTACATTTTCACGCAATTATCTGTACTTTCTACTTCTTACATTTTTTTTAAAAAGGCAAGAAGTAGAAAGTTGTTACTTTTATTTCATTTTTGCTTGTTTTTATTCCAGATTGTTATTGTAATAAATAAATACTATCCATATAAACTGTGCCTCCTAGATAGAGTTAATTTAATTGTGGTTGAATGAGAAGTATAAATATATAAAACTCTGGTACTGTATTAGTTTGTACACAAACAAATCATGTCACAATCCAGCAGGACAGAATCATTAAAATAAAGACTGTACTTAAGAAGTATTTGTATTTCATGAATTATATTATTATATTTGGCTGCAGCCCTCAGATGGATTTTCATTTTGTTGAAAAGGTTTGGGCAGCCTTAATATATGTATATAAACTGAAACAGATGGACTAGTGCATCCTAAATTTAACATAAATTTATTATTTTAATACAACAGTCACTTCTGTAGTTTTTGGGGAGGTCACCTCCTAATAAATGTCATTACAGAAAATCTAACTGCTCATTTTAAATCAATACTTTTACTTTTAATACTTTAGTACAAAAAATATCAGATACTCTAAGACTTTTACTCAAGTAATATTCTTAAAGGAGACTTTAACTTTTCCCTAATTAATTTTTTGGTGAGATACTTGTACTTTTACTCAAGTATCAGTTTGTGGTACTTTATACAACACTGCAAATGCTAAAGGTCTCGAAGGCCGCAACGAACCGACCTACTTGCCAAGTTTTGTGTTGTTTGCTAATAATTTGGCCAATTACATAACTTTTAGTTCGTATCATAAAACCGTACCTCCTACTAGTTTATTATGCACATTAAAAGGCTCATAAAGGTTTTTAAAAAACACATTTGGACAGGAGAACGTTATTTTTTTCACAACCGTAACCATATTTAGCAATGCTAAAAAAAACTTTACCTCTCAGGTGGCAGAGAAAAGGAGGGCCCAACTTCCGGTCAAAGAATGAAAAAAATCATATGATGCATTGATGTGTCAATGGTATTTCGTAAATGTAAGATCATGTTTAAAAACATGATCTTAAATAAAATGTTTTAACTTCATTCAGAAGTTGTATAATTTGAGCATAAAGTCGATTCTGTTCTATAAAATTGTTTTTGTTTATTAATGCTGATCGTGTGTAATGATGGCGTAAAATAAATGAAGACGTGATACAATTTTTATTTATTCTGAAGATAAAGTAAATTGAGTATTTGCTGCCTAAAATTAAAACTGCAATGCAAAATACACAATATAATCTAAAAATGATTCATCTCCCCGAGAGTTAAAACTCAGGACGCTTACGTGAGACACGTGAACGCACCACGGACCCTGGGTTCTCCTTTTACGTCAATGACGCAGGGCGGTTCATGAATGGGGTTCTGTAGTGGGAGGGCCCGTCATCTGACTTTGTCAGGCAGGGGGGTGGCAGGGGGGTAAAAAAGTGGGTGTTGTTCAGCACTGTTTGGCTTTATGCGATGCCTCTTCATGACTGTTTTTAAACGCAGAAGCAGCGGACGTTTCAGAGTGTTTTACGGACTTCAGAGCGGAGCCAGCAGCGTCCGTACAGGCCAGCGGCGGCGGCAGCAGCAGGGGAAGCTGCCTGTAGCTCCGATCCCAACACTGACCGACTCTGCGACGCGGCTGCAGCCTTCTCTCTCTCCCCTCCACCCCGTCACCGGGAACCACAACCGTATCTGTGAGCCATGGGTTTCCGCAAGAAGAACAAGAGCCCGCCGGTGCTGAGCCACGAGTTTGTGATCCAGAACCACGCCGATATGGTGTCGTGCTTGGCCATGATCATCCTGCTCGGCCTGATGTTTGAGGTAACGCTGTGAGTGGAGCTGTTAGCCGCAGCTGCTAGCCGTCGTTAGCTCGCTTGTCTGCTTTCCCTTTTTTTAAATGTGTGGCTCTCTGATTGCCAAAGGAGATGGTGAGACTTGCACAGTCAGCTCCTCATCTCAGCAGGGTCACTTCACTGCCTCCCTCCCATTATACGTTTCTTACCCTGACCAGCAAGTTGATCAGGCTCAATGTTTATTTACACTGATACAGACACTAGAATGGAAGAGAAATCAAGATAACCTTCCTCTAATGTTGACACAGACGTCCTGGCTTTGACTAAAGAGAAAGTGGAGCTCATGATCTGAATACGTTTGTCACTAACCAGTACAGAGTGGTGTACTTCCACACGTTTTTAATTGGGGAGGGGGGTTAGTAAGCATAATTTCAGGACATTTGCTATGTTATGTAAAGGTTATTTGACAAACAGCAATACAAGAGTGAACGAATTACCTTCCAGTAGGTCTACTTTAGATTTTTTTTTATTATTATCACTTAAAAGTTGAAGTTATTTATTGATAAAAGTGCTGCCGCTACTCAATTTACTGAAGCTTGTCCTCTCCTAAATTCCCATTTCTAACAAAATATTTTTTGTATAACCTCCAAACCCCTTGTATTCTAGATTTTAAGTTTAATTTTAAAGTATATGTTTGTATATTTTTAGTTCCCAATTACAGAAACGCAGTGTGTTTTTATGTTTTATGAGGTTCTACTAATCTTAAATGGTTAAGGGAGATTTAGGGGGACACATTAAGGGTGGGGCATCTGTTTCTTAGGGGTGTCCATTAAAGATCTCTAAATTGTGAGAATCAGTGAGCTCAGGGTTTTGCTGTAAAACTCGCTCAACTCATGAATAGACTGAACTGAAAAAGAAACAGTTTGTATTTAAACAGATTAATAAACATATTTTTATTTTATTTTATTTTTTACTTTAGGTGACAGCAAAATTTGCCATCATGTTCATCACGGTCCAGTACAACGTAACTCAAGTTCTTGGTGAGCTGAGAAAAACAGGTCTATATTGTTTTCTGCCTCTTGTTTCATTATTCAGGCTTTATTCTCATGTATTTGGGGTTTATTTGTTTTTGTTTGTTTGTTTTTGTTTGGGGGGGGGGGTGGAAATTTGTTTTTGCAGATGACAAAAGTGAGCCTGTGAACCTTTACCAGTACGGCCCAAAAGACGTGGCGACCGTGTTCTTCTACCTGCTCATCGCCGTCATTCTTCATGCCTTGATTCAGGAGTACATCCTTGACGTGAGTGCCTGGAGGCATCATAAACAGCGTGCACACATGCTTCTTTTTATATAGGCTGACACCAACCGGCTTTTGCTCGAAACGGACTTTATTATTTCAAAGAGAGCAAAGTATCACAGGCTTCACTGCCACTTGTGTATACTTTGTAATCATTTTCGATTGCTGTTTGTTATTGATCAAATTTCAGTCGTTTCTGTGTGTAAGAGCTGAAGACAGTGCTCATGTTTCGTTGCTTTGATGACCACTCTAACTGGGATCATTTTACAAATACATTTTTTGTACTAAAAATGGAAATGGTTCATATCCTACCCTCACCTATGGCCATGAACTTTGGTAAGGATACCTCTTGGACACCTTTCTAGGGAGGTGCTACAGGCATGTCTGACTGGGAGGTGACTTCGAGGAGGACAGCCCCCTTTCCACTAGCACCTCTAGAGCACGGATTGGGTTGTTGTGAGAGTAGCTCTTATAAAGCAACCAGTGACGAACAGCATTCTGATGTTGCATTTTGGTGTCGACTGGGACCACTTGGAACCACAACGAAGTAGGTACTAAAAAAGAAGGGCTGGTTCTAAGAATCTGGCCTAATGGAAATGGTTTGGAACCGTACCGAACCTTCACAACTTCATTTCCGTTTCAAACTCTGGCATTAAACTGTCATGTAAACTCTGTTGTTAAATCCTGTTTATTTTTTCCAGCTGAGGAGACTGTCCAAGTTAAAACCCATCCTGTCAAAAAGAAATCTGGAGACAGTATTTCATGTGTTCATTACATCCAGGCTGATAACTGTAATGCTCTGCTGTATGGACTCAGCCAGTCTGCTTCTTTACAAATGGTTCAGAATGCAGCAGCCCGATTCCTAACTGGCACAAGTAAAAGAAAACATATTACTCCTGTTCTAGCTTCTCTTCACTGGCTTCCAGTTCATTTCAGAATTCACTTTAAAGGGATCCATGATTAGTTGTAACATTAGACTTTATATGACAAACATATACTTTAACTGTAAAATAAAGACTGTAAAAATACTGTAGGATG